AATGACATCTAAAAAGTATGAGCGTTCAACCATATGAATGCATGTTCCCATCTATTTATCTAATGAGACATACATTTACTTAATCATCTAAACAATCTATGAGGCAGGTACTGTTAGTGCCCCCTTTTTACAGATGTGTACACTGAGGCTCACAGAAGTGAATTAACTTGTCCACTATTAACTTAATAATTCACTTGCTAGTAGAAGAGCTGGAATTAGAATCCAGGCAACCTAGTGCAAGAATATGTGCTCTTAACCCCTACAATTACTGACAGCAGAAAATGATTTGGTGGATATAATTATATTCACAGATACTTTAAATCGTAATGGAAAATAACATGAAAAATGACTTTCTCAACTTGAAATATGCTGAAGGGTCAGAGAGTTCCTGCAGGAGCATAAAGAAGTAAATCTTTCTCTTTGAACACTGACAATGGAATGTAACTAATTGATTCAAATGTTCAGTGGCTCTTTTTCAGTCCTGAAATAACTGCAATTGGTCATTCACCAAATATTCTAAACAGGTACATTTGAGTAGGCAGTGAAATTAAGTTACATAAAACAATTGATTAATCCAACTCCAGAGAAAAGAATTATACAACTGAAGAGATGCATTCAAATTTTCTTATGTTAATAACCTGAAAGAACGTGAAGAAGAAAACGTAGAAACTTTAGATCTGTTGCTAACAACCTGACTCTAGAGATTTAAAAAAAAAAAAAAAGCTGCTATGGGACCCAACTCTTCTCTTACGTGACAAGGAAGAAGAGACTGTAAGAGCAGAGCCAGCTGCACAGAGGGGATGGGCTCGTCCGGCCACTCCCTGTGGAGTCCTCGTAGGGTGGTGAGACAACCCATCTGCTGGCATGTGCTCACCTGGAAGGGTTTCATGACAAACCCTACTCCAGGCATCCTGGCCAGGCAGTTCTAACCAGTGAAATGGTTCAGGTGGGACGCACAGGAAAAGCTGGAGAGCTGAGGACCATTTGTCTCTCGGTCACTGTCTCTGGCCCCGGGAACACTCTGAACAGCATGCCTGGGGTGTCCTGTACAGCTTGGGGCTTGCCGCAGACAGAAACCTTTAGGAATCAGTCACACAGGCCTTGTTGACCAGTATCATCTACCACCGTGGGGAGTTATGGGACGTAGTCAGAAGAGTCCCTTAGTACTCAACCAGGTGATGGTGACACCACCCTTCCATGCACAAGTGAAGTGAGGCTTGTTGATGACTGACGCAAGGAGAACACAAGGAATATGAAAAAACCGGCCCCGATATATTACATTTTAAAATTTTTAAATCTTTTATCTTTGGAATGTCTCTCCACCAATTACTGCCAAGTTTACACGCAGTACACAGCCACTCCAAGCAAACACTGACCTTTTGGGTAGATTAGAATGAACCTGACAAAGTAAAAAAAAAATACTAAATCAGTTAAGGAAATGTACTGCAAGAAAAATGTAGGAAATGGTTATATTCAGGATTCATAGTATTTGTCATAAAATATCTTTATGAAATCTAGAATCCCTCTTCTTTCTCTAATTAGGAACAACAAACTCAATTTTTCTTTATCAAGATTTTTTTGTCACCAAGAATTAATCATCTTCTTATGCTTTGATATGTGCATCATTCAGAGAATTACACGTGTTTATTTTACTACTAAATTATTTAAAGAATCTTCCTCACTAGAAAACAATACTGTTTTAAAAACAATAAAAATACATTGTTCATATATTTAACATTTGACAAACTATCAAAGTTGATGATAAAAGTTATGAATATTATGAACTATATCTTAAATTCCAACACAAAAAAATGCCTGCAGTGTACCAAAAACAAAACGAAACAAACAAACAAAAGGATCATGAAAATCCCCATAACAAGAAAATTATTTTAGAGACAAAATAGTTTTTTAGAGCACAGCGATTGAATCATGATTCCCTGCTAACAAGTTAGCGCCTCTGACCAATGATCACCTTGGTTGCCGAGCGCTGTCCAATGGCAGCAGTCTGACTTCCGGTTACTACCAGCAACGCCCCTCCTTTGCATCATGCTACTGCTTACACACGGGAAGGCCCACTCCCACACACACGCATCTTTAAACGAGTGTATACTAAAAATATGGCATTAACCGGGGTTCTGTCTGAAATGAGTAAGGAGAGGAATGAACTGCATCTCTGCACAGCAGTACCCCAGGGGTGTCGGACCCTGCCTCAGCTGTAAATGGCCCTTTCTGCTTCTTAAAGACAAAATCAACTCAACGAAATGCCCCTCCCCCACCCTGTCTCTCTCACAGACTTGCATCAGCATATTAAGAAATATCTTCTGCTCTGATCATTAAAAATTCCAAATGTCTACACTCTTAAAAATCAGATGGGAAACAGTTAACATGAATACCTCTACCTAATTCCCCCACCTCCAGGAGAAAAAAATATTGGTTTTTATACTTCAAATTGTAGAGATAAAAAAAGATTGAAGTGCCAGTAATTGTGAAGTTCAGTGAAGAAGAAAGCCTTGTAATCTCAGTCGTCAGCACAAAAAGCATCTGTCAGAGCTCCCTTCCAACTATAATAACTCTGCGTGCTCACTAGAAAAAATTATGATCATATGAGCTTCATGCATGATTGATACCATTGCTGTTTATTTTAAGACTGTCCTTGAGAATCAATCAAATGAAGCATGGCCAGTGTACGTTTTGCAACCAAGAATGAGAGACATAATACGAATGCCCTTTCTGAAGACAACGTGATGACCTATTCTTCCCATTACTGTTTCCTACCAAAAAGAAGCATCTAATAAAAGTGAACTGGGTAGAAATTCATGTCAGAAGATGTCCTGTCATCCCATGTTCTTTACAGTATGTTGAATTAACCAGCAGCTACACATATGATTAAAAAGAGAGCGAGGTTATCATTACACATAAAGAAGCATATAAAGCTAACTAATAATATGCTCAAGTGCTTAAAGAAACATTTGGGAAAAATACAACTATCAAGCATAATATACTCTAAATCATTAGAAATCTCCCGTGTATCAAAAAAGCTTTATAAGGTCTCAGATGGCAATGCCTCTTATCTTTCATAATTGAATCTTTGCATTGTATAATAAATATGCTCTAAAAATGAGGAAGTAGGTTTTTTCCATAAATCCCCTTTTCACACATATCTTGAGTAAAGAGAAGATATAATGGAAATTCAAAATGAAAACATTTTTTAGTAAAATCATAACTTTTTCCGGCATAATATCTGATTAAAGTGACTGAGGTATTCAAACTAGGAAGGACTACAATCAAGTTTATGTTTAGCCTCAAAAAAAACAAAAGGCAAATAATCATCAAAACATGATGCTATCCCAAAGATGTCTGAAAGCAAAGCCAAGACTTTCCAGAATCCGCCAGCCTTGGTGAGCAAGAAGAACCTAGCCTTGACTTCCGAGCACCCCCAGGGCCCACCTGAGCACCGCCACCACCACCACCTGCGGCCACCGGCCTTCTGCCTGTGACATTATAAGTAACGGCCTGCCACTCACATTCTTCCAGTCTATGAGCTAATTACGACTTCATTTCGACATCACATTATGTCTTGATTTAAACGACAGTTATGAACATGCCCCCGTGGCATGCAATTCCAAAAGCTCGGATTCGCAATGAGGACACTGGGCATTCATCCCTTTCCGGTCTCTTTCTATCCAGAAAATAAAAGTTGTATTTTTCAAAGGGTTAAACAGTTTTTGCATTTCGAATTGGATTTTTTTGCATAATATAATCCTACTTAACATCTGTGAACTTCTTTAACTCATTTGGTAATGATTGTTACTTTTTGAAATACTTTCTCTACCAACTATCACTTATTACATGAAGTCCTAAGAACAGATTCTGTAAGCAGACTGATGTCAGAATGTGCTCTCAAACATGGCACTTAGGCACCTTTATATGTAAATCTGTTACATGAAACACATTCAAATACTGTGCAACAGGTTCTGCTATTGTGTAAACACACTCCCAACAAAATGACAGGAAGCTCTAAAGGATCAACAATATAAGGTAAAAATCACGTGGTTTTTCAGAGACTAAATTCTTTTGAGTTGCCAGCAACAGCTCTGGTCAGGAGTGTACCTCACAAGCCGCTCAGCCTGTGTGGGACCCCGCCGTGCGGAGGTGAGCCGGTGGCAGAGGCCAGGCGCGCACACGCCTCCGCGGACTCACTGCCCATCGCTGGCTCCAGCGCCCAGTCGATGACAGGAAGGGGACTCTGGCAGAGGTCTAGCAAGTCCTCACCCTTAAGTTCCCTTTGGCTTTGTGTCTGCCTTTTCCCAGAGCTCTCCCAGTCAAGCCAATGGCAGTCTAAAAGCTCCCCGTTCTGCCACAAGAGTGTGAAATCAAATTAAAAACACACCTCAGAACTATTGCACTGGGCCACGTTGAGGTTTGCGTGGCGGGGGAGGGGCGCAGCAGACACTTAAAAAGGGACGGATTCCACGTCCTCCGTGTAGCCAGCGCGAGACACAGTGTATTAACTTAGGTCTGAACGAAAAAGGACTCGGGCTAGTAAAGCGTTTCATCACAAAGTAACGTCACTAAACGCAGCAGCATTCCCCCCTGCCCTCCGGATCCTGCTTTTCACCCCCTTTGTTAGACACCGCACACGGGAGAGGGGTTCCCAGAACAATGCCGGGGCGGCACCGATGCCAGGCAGTGAGCCCTGGGTACCAGAGCAGTGGACTCCCCCCAACTCGAGCCGCCTCCCGGGGCCACACGTCCGCCTCTCCCGGTGGCAGCGAGGACGGCGCCGCCGCGGCCGAGCGCGCAGCATCCTGCTTTGTGCCTCGGGGATAACGGACTCGGTCTGCGCGCATCCCTCACCCACACCCGGGGAAGCTCAACTAGGGTCTGGGCTGCAGGCGACACCGCTCAGACCCCGCTCTGGGCGACCGGGACCCGAGGGGCGACCGAAGCGTCTCCGGAGCGGCGGGGCCGCGGGAAGGAAGGAAGCCTGGTACTCTTACCTCCACATTGAAATACTGCTCCGTTCCGCAGACGGCAGCACATACAATCCAAAGCAAGGTCTGCAAGAAAACCGCCCCCGAGTGATGCACGAGACCCAGCCGTCTTCCAGAGCTGAGGGCGAGTAAGATCATAGTGGACCGCGCTCCAGCGGACGCACGAGCTCCCCGCGCCTTCCCTCGCCGTCCTCCTCCCTCCCGGCTTCCTTTCCGAAAACTCCTGGTGGGAAGGAGCCCGCAGGTTCACGGCGCCGGCCGGAGCAGGGCCGCGCTCGGCAGC